AAAAAAAAAAGGAACTGGCAAATATTAGATCCAAAATATAAGATCAATCACGCACTGACGTATGTGAATATACGATTTTGTTTCTATCTCGTGTTTAGGCATGTTGCCACAATAGCAGGTAGAGCTTTATGTCCCGGGGATTTTTACGTTCGATAGAGATCTGTTCTTGATAATCAGAAAAGCTCATGTTTGATCCTTGTGAAAGAAAGCTTCGATAAATTTAGAAACCAACCCGTGGCTGTTAATTCCGCTTTGTTCTCAGAATTTCGTTGCGACAACAAGTTGACGATGTTTTGATCGCAACAACACCAGCACGACATGTCTCAGCATAATTTATAACGTAACATTAACACCAGCACAACTTGCCTACGTCACTGATATCGCTAGTACGCTTCTGGTGCAGTTATGCCAGCTCCTTCCATCCTGAACTGCATACTTCTAGCGGCATTCAGATAAATATTGTAAAAGGCGTAGAACGGTGATAAGGCAGGTTTACTAAGCAGCGAACAATAGAACAAAGCAGCTCTACTGCTTTATCATAATTATTTACGGTTTGTCTGCAAGCAGTCCTCGCTATGTGGCGACGCCTCGGGCGACGACGACTTGCACCTGGCCTTACCGACCCCTTTCTTTTTATGCACTTTTTACACAAGACATCACAAAAAGCGCGTTTTAGCTGAGCTTTATCTGCCTGTATTTTTTGAGTGCGTGCGAATTTCTGTTTGCTGCAATGGATCAAATTGCAAAAGCTAAGAACCGTGGAATTAGGAACGCCCTTCCCAGTTATACGTGGATCAGAAACGTAAAATGAACTTTGACGCCTCTTTTACATCCTGACTCCGGAAGATTAGGGATTTGGATTTGCGACTTTTCATAGTACCAGCAAGTCATATCACGAAGTATGATATTCCGTTCTTTATTTGCCACTAGGTTATATTTCATGAGTGCTCCGGTGAACACGTATGTAAACCAACCGCTGCGAGATTGTAACAGTGTACTGCGAAAAAATTTACAGTATCGCTGTATCCACTTTCCAAGAGCGTACGAAATATAACCACGATATTCTGGACTATGTGATTTAGTGCAGTAAAGGCGAAAGCAGAGCTCAGTGATTTTTTCTGGGGAGAATATGCGTTTTTTTTTTTAAATTAATATTGCTACAATATTTTTGACTTGTTTTGCATTTAAATTTTCATGGATTTCTTTCCCTATTAGAACTTATCAAGTTATCAATGGGAAAGTTTTTGCAAGCTTTCTTTCAAAACTCTCTCTAACTATATCATCAGAACAGACTGTTCAAAAAAACACTTAATTGATCAACTTCGCCCAATGTTTTAAATGAGGCGAAATTTTTCAGGTTTTTAAATTTTGGTGGTATTACCGAAAGGCATCAATCTCGGGGTACAGGAAAGCACATCACTATTCTCTAAATAAACATCATCAGTTCATATTTTTTTGTTACACGTGTCCCCAGGATGCAGTCAGCTACTTTCAGGTACTTTCATTCTTCCTCCCCTTACAGCCATTTTTCGAAGAATAAAAAGTGATGAGCACTGACAAAAGGAGGGGTTAATAGCTTGGGTCCCTTCGCTGATAAATGAATGACGCGGAAAGAAATAAGGGAGTGAAGGGTTTCTGTGTGGGAGTTTGAGGTACAAGTCCATTTAGCGTGTTAAGGTGCACTTCGTTTAATAATTGCAGAGGAGTGGTTGTTGTTTATAAGGGTTTTTTGAGTGGCAACACGGTTTTTTTTTTTTTGCGATTTTGCAGATATCTTGAAGTTCCAAAAGAATGTCGCTTACCTTCGAATGATTTTGAATCTTCTGTCTGGATAACGGATGAAGATAGTGCATTTCGTTTGGCGACAGCTCTCGAAGAACGTGATGGGAGTATACTTGTCGGTTTTCGCGATGAAAATGGTTTCTACGAAAAGGTTTCCTGGCTTCGAAAAAATGCTAAAAATTGGTTACGTTAAAAAAAAGAAATCTTAGCTGCTTTACTGGCTCAGTATCAGAACATCTTTTTGCTACAAACAGATCTCCGGGACTGTTCTAAAAGACACGTATTATTGAAAAGTGAAAAATTCAGAGGAAAAAAATTTGACAAACTTCGAAAAGATTCTTTTTTGACTTGTCGCCAAAGCTTATTTGTCTCTGAATCAAAATTTTTGCCTCATAATAGTATGCCGAAAAAGAAAATATTTCTTTCCATCAATAGTCCTCGCTCGAAGTGTACTTGGAGAAAAGGACAGAGTGCGGATAACGAGTTAAGACTTAATGGCTGGAGAATGAAAAATTGATTTTTACCTGCACCACATCCCGCCTTCTTTAATCGTCTTCTGTAGCTTTTTATCAGCGAAGGACTGCTGCCTTCTTTAAGCGACTTTTAGTGGCTCCGGCCAAATGAAAAAAAAAATATTCAAGGTTTACAGGGCAAAATTCATTTGCTACAAAAAATGAAAATGAAAGCTGTTGTACTTTGATTTGTTTCCGAGCTGTGGTGGAAAGGTCCAAAATTTTTTAACAATACGCACTGGTGCGACAAATTTTTGGAGTGAAATTTTTACGTGCTTGGGCCAGGGAATAGTATCAGTTGGCATCTCACAAGAGTACAGATACTAGTTCTGTTTCGGCACTTTAATCCTAGATAACAAGGATATTTGCAGCGTGTTGTGCCAAAATCAGAAGTGCAGGCGCCAAGCATATCATATTTCGTGGAAGACATGTGCAATTTGAGTGAACCTAATGATGCGTCCGTTCTGAATGCTCTTCGATTACGATATGAAGCGCAATTGATCCACGTTTGTTATACAAATGCTAACTTTTTGCGAAACAATTTTTAGGAACACCCTAGAAAATGAAGATTTTTGTTAACTTTGTTTTGTCTTTATTTTCATCAAAAAAACTCGACTAATATGTCCTGACAGTATTAATAATAATGAAAGTAATTGTCGTAGTAAGAGCGATAATATTAATAGTAAAAATAATAAAAGCAATATTAGTGATCTTTAAAAATGATCAAATGAATGCAAAATTGATCCGAAAGCAGAAGAGCGAACGCTGACTGTGATGGTCATAACAGTAAAGGGTATCATTTTCACGCTTCTTAATTGTATGAGCAGCTGAATTTTACGTCAGATGAGCGTTGTGCAAGATATTACTGCAACAGCGCGAGAAAATAAAAATCCGAAATCAAGAAATGCTTCTTGCCTTACTGATAACCGTTGGACGCCGCGTATTTGTGATTGTTGTTCGCTAAAGGGTATACGACCATTCGAGCAGTTTTCGCAGAGGAAGCGCACATGCGTTGGACGAGAAGCAACTGCTAAGTGAGGGAGGCAGCTCAGGATTAACAGTCTATTACGACTGCGCCCGACGTCTTGGAGTAGTTGCAGTAACATGGGATTACAAACCATCGCCTGAACGGTGTTGAGAGTAATGATTTATCCACGAATTACAGACTTATTCGGGTCTTTTTTGTCTTGTTGTGAATCCATGGAAGAAATTACCAATTTATACGAAGGAAGTGATGGATGTGTACATGAATCCAATTCACAAAGGCTGTGCTTTACCCCCTCACGTGTATAGCGTTGCACAAACAGCCTACAGTGGTCTACTCAGCGGGAACAACCAATCTATTTTGATAACGTGAGCAATTCTTTCTCATTCCATGAATTATGCATTGTTGAATGTTTCTGAGGGCAACAGGCAAGCTTTACGACTGGTGCGATGTTGTTCCGTGGCGCACCCAAAACTGAACGCCGGATGCGAACAGGTGCTCAATCTTTCCAAACAAGCATTGATAAATTTCGATTCTCTCTAACGAAATCTTACTCTAACTTTTTTGTCTACCGCCGTTCTGCTTACGTCATTGGCAAAGAATGCTGAATATTCAAAACACCTCCACTGTCTGCACATACAGCTGCTTTGTGTTCAAAATAAACATTTCTAAAGCTGCGGTACCGGATGTCTTATAATTACCAGTTCGGCTGACAGGATGCATGCATTCCAATTCAGGGCTCATTATGCGTTTTTGCCTATACGCAAATTGGAAAACGCATATTGGAACGACCCTGTCTGTGTGTGTATGTATGTATGTGTGTGTATGTTTGTGTGTGTGTGTGTGTTCGTCT